AAGAAATTCTTAACTTCTCTTTTTCAGGCCAGAGGATTCCAGTTCCTCTACCTCTTCTCCAGTAGGGATTCTGCTGACCCAGTCAGCAGATTGCTGACTGGTAAGCTTCCTCAAGCTGGGCCCCAGGATTCAGGGTGTTTGTACTTTATTCCTGCCTTTTCTGTGACATTTGAAGCACACAACACAGTCCTACATACATGGCAGATGTTAACAAACAGGGGGTGAATTGCATGGACTTGTCCACTTAGCCACTTTCTCAAAGATCACACCAGACGTGGCCTTCCCACAAATATTGGGTACCTGCTCAGTGCCCAGCACCAAGCTAAGCCCTCTGGACGCAACCGTACATCACGTGGGCACTTGGCCCTGCCCTATGTGACTTCTTTCACGGTGGTACTCGACTCCCACCTTATGTTTCCTCAGCCCTTTTACATATTTTTCTAGTTGGTTCCACACTGTGATGTAGTTATTATTTCCAGTTAACAGGCGAGAAAGGTGAAGTCCAGCAAGATTAGATGACTAACCCAAGGTCATGCAGCGGCAGGAGCTACAACTGAAACTCGAACCCAAGTGTTCTGAGGGTGTGTAAACCTGTGGTAGAGCCTGCCTCCTCGAAGCCTCCTTTGGAACCCTGTAGGGTGATTAAGTTATCCCTTCATCGTCCTTCCTCCTTCCCAGGGAAATTCCAATATGGTTTTATTATCCTGCCTCCCCACAGGTTAAAGTGATATTTAGTCAAGAATTATCTCCCCTTCTTCAAAAATGAGCAATTCCAAGCAAATACAGAACACCTGAGGGAAAAAAAGAAAGAAAAGAAAATGCTGCTGAATACCAGCTGTGTCCATATCAAGGATTGCTCAGTTGGACATCAAGTGTGTACCCACCTCCATATCTTCCTCAAAACTTGCAAAATCCGGAACACTAGCCTGCTCAAATAAGGAAGCTGGGTTGTTTCTCATCTTTCTAATGTCTCTAACCAGATGGTATCTCCGCTTTGCCAGTGACAAGACGTAAGCGATCACTGGACGCATAAAGGACTTCGCTCAATTAGCAGGTACCACTTGTCTTCTTTTTATTCTCATCTGGGAGAGAACTCATTAAACACAGCAGAAGTTGTTTATTTAGGAGAGACTTCCAGGTAGACTGTCAGGTTTCTAGGAAAAGAGGAGATGAAGTGAGGGGTTTGGGAGGTCGAAGCAACACCAAGTGTGCCAGTGGACCAGGAAGGCAGAAGGGAACAAGGCCCACCCCAATTTAGTAGGTAGCTTGGGGCCAAAGTAGGAGAATGTGTCGTGAAATATGTCCATTGTCTTCTTGCTTCCTCCCATTTTCCCTGGCTTTCTCCCAACCATACTGCGATACAATTGCCTCCTCCACTCACCTGGCCTCTTATGCCTCTTCAGCCAACACACCCATAACTGTGCCCATGTGACCTAGGCTTTCATGAATTCTCAACTATTGAGAAGATAGCCACTCCAAAAGGGTTACACTGAGTAGTTTTGTGCTTATAGATCATGACTTGTAAGAAACAGTGAAAATATATTTGACATATATGTGTATATATACATTTATATATTGCATTTGTATGTATACATGTATGTTTCAAGTTTTCATTAGAAATCCACTCTGAATCAGGCTATTAGAGGAGTCTGTTGACTAATTTGGAGTCTTTTTGTCTGGTTCTACAAGGTTGACTGCTTTACCTGGACCTGTGTTGCAGGGCAGGGAGAGGAATCTTTTTTAAGCTGGGAAACCCTGGATTGGCTGGGGACAGAAGCTATCAGTTGTTTGACAAGTGTTTGGGGGAAGAAGGTGGGAATATGGGGTCTTTAGCACATGGCAGCAATAGGAGTTGGAAAACACCGTCAGCCCTTGTTAGAAGGTGGCAATGCTGACGCCGCACCGTGCAGACTGAGTTACTTCTGCTGGGGAAGCATTGCAGGGCCTCTAGGGAAAGAAGAGATACGCCCAGCAGAATAACATGAGTAAAGGGCACAGATAACACACAGTAAAGAAAATATGTATGACTAATAATCACAGTTTAAAAAGAAATTAAATAAATGTTAGTTACAACAATAATGACATCTCTTTGCCCCTATAATTGGCCAAATAATTATTTTCTTTTAGATCTCCTCTGTGTTGAAGGATGTTCGCTGAGACAGGCATCATTACCTACCACTGCCGAGAGAGAGAGAGAGAGAGAGAGAGAGAGAGAGAGAGAGAGAGAGTTTATACACTTTCTGGAAGCAATTTGGCAAAATGCATCAAGAGCCTTAGAAATAAGACTGCAATTAGAAATGATGCTTTGGGAAATCTAAGGAAATAATTTTTAAAAATGCAGACAAACATGCATAATATTGCAGCATTATTTGTAAAAGTACAAATTGGGAACAACTTAATTATGCATCAATAAGACAATGATTAAGTAACCATGACGATCTATACAATATGTTGGCATCATTACAAATTATATTTTCACTTATTTATGCATGTATTGGTTGATTCTTGTAGGTGTCCTCACTGGGGATCAAACCCACAACCTTGGCTTATCAGGATGATGCTCTAGCTCTAACCAACTGAGCTACTCAGCCCAGGCTACAAATTATACTTTCTAATAATTTTTAACCACTCCTCTCTGGCCACGCTGACCCTCTTTTCTTCTAGAATCATGTCCAGGCACGCTCCCATCCCAGGCTATTCGCACTTGCCGCTTCTCTGTCTGGTCAATGGAGTGGTGTGTGAAGTACACAGGCTGAATCAGGAACCCCAAGCAACACATGGCAAAGGTGGTGTTTTAAGCCCAAGGAGCAGAGGGCGAGTATTCAACATACAGTGTCTTGAAGTTGTTCCACCATATAGAGACAAATGAAATAGAAGTGCACTTCATGCCATATATTAAAATAAATTTAAAATGTACTATAGATGGATATACATAACTGGAACCATAAAGATATTAAAATAGAGACAAGCACTTAGATACTAAAATACAGATAAATGTTTATGTAATTTTGAGGTGTGGAGCTTCTTACTAAATGTAACCCTAGGACAGTAACAGTGTGGGCTTTGGAGACAAAGGACACAGGACAGGGTCCCAGGGCTGTCGTGCACTAACAACACAATAGTGACTGAGTCCTGCCAAACCTCTCTCTCCTCACCTGTGAAGTGGGGACATAAATGCCTGCCTTGCAAAGCTGTGAGGACAAGCAAACAAATGTCAAGTGCAGACCTAAGGAGGACACAGTTACGATTGGCCCTTACGTCGCATTGGTTATCTGCAAAGAATGTAAACTTCCTGAACTCAGAGACCATCTTCTTCTCAGTATCTTTCCCTTCCCAGGTGGTTGTTTACATAAGGGGAAAAAAATACATCAAACAGGGTAAATTCTTGACCATTTCATGCATTATTGGATCAATGCTGAAAAAGGGACATTTTTTCCAATCAGAGGCATTCTGTGTGCTGATGCTTAAGACCAAGGAGGGGGGGTCAGGGCCCTGGTTTTATCTGGGGCATCGGGAGCTGAACAAGCCCCTTTCTGCTGACACCCTTTAGAAGGAGGTCTGGCTTGCATTAGGGGCAGTGTTTGAGGACTCAGGATAAGGGCTCCACTTCTTCAAAGACAGGGAGGCTTGAATTACCACAACCCCCTGACATGCCCTTCTGATGCTCACTCCAGGGTAGCCAAACACAGCGCCCAGCCACACAGGCGGAAAGTCCGGGGCGCCATCAATGAGCCCGAGTTAAAGGCTGGTCCCAGCCCTATGGCTGCCGAGAGGAATGGCTAGGACTGGCTGCTGTGCCTCCCACCTGCACAGAGCCCTGTCTGGGCCAACGTTCACAGGCTCAAAATCTGGTTAGGAAGCCAAGGCAAGTCCTTGCCATCGGCTCTGAGTATCCCATTTCTAGGACTTAACTCGAGAAACACCTATTGACTTATCTCTTCCTGTCTTCCTTCATCTTCCTGATAGAAAGGAGAAAGTCAGCAGGACTCCTTCAAGGACACAGTGCAGGGATTAACCGTCCTTCCTAGGACTCCCTCCTTGTCTGTTTTTCCTTTTTCTCCAATGAGGTCTGCAATCTTAAGGAAAGCAGGCACTGACCCTAGGGATTCTGGTCCTAAAAATATCAAACCTGGTAAGAAATCCAATTGGCCCCGCCCCCCACCCCGCCCCCATTAAGATCCTACGTGAAGGAGTAACCCAAGGGGTTTGTTGTTGGCACATGACAGGGTTGTCTCAGTATTTTGAGCAGTAAAGGAGTTAATTAACCTGGGTTGATACTGCTTATAATGTAATTGTTATAATAGGTAATAATAATTCTAATAGCTACATCATCAAAAGTTAAACTTAAACATCACTGCATTTGAATGTCATGAAGAGAATATTGGACGTGGATGCTGAAGGTCTAGCCTGAACTTTTGTATTTACTTCTTAGAGGCTTTGGGATAAATCACTAAATTTCTTCAAGCTTCAATTTCCGCATTAGCTACAGTGAACAGCACCTTATTATGGGGCCACCAAGAGGGGTAGTAATTTGTAATAATAATAATTATTATTATTATTATTATGAAAAGCATTTGGCTTTTAAATAGGTAAGATGATTTTGAAAGTCATATATACACAGTAAAACATAAAATGCAAAATGCCTAAAAGTTACAGTAACAATAACAACTATTATATTATCATCACCGAGCCTGGGTTGGTTTTTTCCCCCTGTTTTGTACTTCTTTGAACTCCCTTCAGAAATCAACATCCCCCTTCCTTACCACCACCCACAGAATTCCTCTCTCTTTTCTCATGGTGGGTCATGCTGACTATCGAAACTTCCATCTTTCATTTCCAACGCCTTCCCCGTAGCGGCTCTGGTATACCTTTAAATGTATAGGCTGTTTATCCCCTGTGGGGTTTTTTGGGGTGAATAATAAATCAACTGAGACTCAGAAACAGTGGCCATGCCTAATTGTGGGGTTGTTGTTTCTTCTTCTACCATAGGAACTAGAAAAATGGCAACCCCAACAGCCGCGCCTGAGGCTGAGCAAGAGGCTATTGAGACCACATCTTTCGAGTATATGGAGGTAGTGCCGTGTGAAAAACACGACGTCAGGATGCTGATGGCCCAGCTGCTGCCCACACTGTATGCCCTGGTGTTTGTGATCGGGTGTCTGGGCAATATGATGGTGGTGGTGATCCTCACAAAATACCGACGCCTCTGCATTCTGACCAACATCTACCTGCTCAATTTGGCAATTTCTGATTTGCTCTTTCTAGTCACTCTGCCTTTCTGGATTCACTATGCAATGCAGGGTGAGTGGGTTTTTGGCTATGGCATGTGCAAGTTGCTCTCAGGGCTTCATAGCATGGGCTTGTATGGGGAGGCCTTTTTCGTCATCATGCTGACCATAGACCGGTACCTGGCCGTTGTCTACCCCGTGTCTGCCCTTCGAGCCCGGACCGTCTTTTTCGGTATCATAAGCAGTGTCTTCACATGGGTCCTGGTAGGGCTGGCAGCCCTCCCTGAACTTATCTTCTTTAGGGACCAGGAGGATATGGGACAATTGGTCTGCAGTTCCCTTTACCCAGAGGGTGATGAAAACACTTGGAAGCATTTCTACATTGTGAAAATGAACATCCTGAGTCTGGCTCTGCCTCTGCTCATTATGGTTGTCTGCTACTCGGGCATCATCAGAACACTGGTGAGATGCCCCAACAAAATGAAGTGCAAGGCCATCCGGCTCATTTTTATCATCATGGCGGTCTTTTTCATTTTCTGGGCGCCCTACAATGTGGTTCTTCTTCTCCACACTTTTCAAATGACTTTCTTCGGGGGCAGCTGTGAGCAGAGCAAACAGCTGGACCTGGCCATCATGGTGACAGAGGGGATCGCCTACACGCACTGCTGCGCCAACCCTGTGATCTACGCCTTCGTCGGCGAGAGATTCCGGGCACATCTCCACCACTTTTTCCACCACCATGTGGCTGTGCGCCCAGGCAAATGCGTCCAATTTCTTAACAGCAAGAGATCAGAAAGAGGCAGCACTACTTCCCCATCATCAGTGGAGCAGGAACTCTCTGCTATATTTTAGATTAGATGCTGAAAATTGTCTTAGGAAAATGCTCTGGGCACACGAGGCAGGTACACTAAGCCAAGTGCATTGGCCTCTATACCAGGTCTTTGAACTTTCAGTGCAACACTGTAGAAGGTTTTGAAGACATTAAAATATATCCACAGTGGTTGCGGTGTATCTATGCACCCCGAAGTCATTACTGGAGATCAACGGCTGAGCAGTGTACTTATTGCCAAACCCGAAAAGCAGAGCTTTGCATGATTCTTTGAAGAGTTGCATGCATTTCAGCACCCCTGAAAGTTCCATAGTTAGTATATGCAGCAACAAACAGGTGAAGCTTTGTATGCTTTCAATCTTAACTTCAACCAGCTGTTGACATAAATGAAATATATTTCACAAAATACAATAAATCCATTTTACTACTTTTCCATGTGCCTAGTTCTTTCCTTGCTTGATGAAAAGATTCATTTTTTTTTAAAGTTTATGGATATGTACTCTCAAGTAGCATCCTGGTATGTCACACCTGTTCTGAATATTCCTAACATTGAATCCATTTTCTATTCACACCGAATGACCACATTTCCCATGGGGACTCAATGGAAGAGGAGCCATTTGGTATTTTTGGTATAGAGAACAAAGGCCCTGCTCATAGACACCTCTTAGCCCCGAACTGTGTAGAAGCCGCCCTCCTAGACGCCCTTCTCACTGTTCATCCCACAGCTGTGTGTGAGGTGAGGGGACGGGATGCACAAATGCTGCTTTCGGTTAAGTGAGAGGTGCAGAAATATCTCAGACAAACACAGTCCTCGCTTCCACAAGCCCTTCCATTGAGTAGGCGGTGCGAGACCAAAAAAATCAATAATTCCAGTGCACGGAGGAACACCCTCAGTGCTATGCCTGACCCAGTAGGGGAGGAACTGTTTCCAGCAGAATCTGAGAGAAGAAGTGGCTTTTGGGCAGGTCTGTGAAAGAGGAACAAGATTGGCAAGGGAGAGATATGGGGAGGCACCTTAAGCCAACTATAGGCCCAATGCAAATGTGAGAGGGGAGAGCACGAACCAGTGTGGGTGGTAGGGTCGGGGGGTGCTGGGAAAGGCCATGAGTATCAGCAACGCATCTTGGGCTTTGTTAGGGAGGCAACGGGAGCCAGTGAAGGGCTTGGAGCAGGGGAGTGAAAAGGTCAGCATGGTGCCTTAGGCAGGTAAGTCTGGTAACTCACAAGGATGGAGTGGAGGCCCCAGAGCCATGCAGGGAGGTAAGGTAGGAGGCAAGTGCGGATGTGGAGGCAAGGAAAGATCAACAGCTGGTAGGAGAGGTGCCAAGAATTCGGCCAAGAGACAGCATCAGGGGTCAAAGTGCTAGGAATGATATACTCATATGGTTAACTGAAAAAGAATCAGAAGCCAAAGGAAAGTGTATCATATGCAAAAAAAACACAAAAAAACAAAAATACAAAAAACCAGAGAGAGAGACTTGCATTGTGGGGCAGCGTCTGCCCTAGGTAACCACAGAGCAGGATGTCGGTGCCTGTTCATGCTCCCCTGGTCCCTGAAGGCCGCCCATATCCAGGTCATGAATTCAGGGTGCTCCACTGTGCGCCGCCGCCCAGCCCAGCCCAGCCCACCTGCACGGGCCGGTGTGGGCCCTACCAGCACGTGCAGCTCTGAGCACTTGAAATATGGCTAGTGAAACTGAAGAACTAGAATTTTAATTTTTATCCCATTTTAATAGTCACATGTGGCTAGTGGCTGCTATGTGTGGTTAGTGGCACAGCACTAGTCCCTATGCAACATGCTTCCTGTAGCCAGCAAACACGTGACTTGCACACCATGCCGCAGACTAGGGAAAATGCCCAAGATGCAAAGTCAGACAGGACCCATTTCTAAAAAACTCATCGTTTAGCAGAAGAGACCCCTCTGACTCAAATGACTGTAACAGAATGCGGCGGGGGCCCCACAGACCCCGATGCAGAAAGCAGAATGAAGACATTTAAGTGACATTCTGCCTAGGCTGAGGGTCCCCCAAGAACAACGGTGTGAGAGCAAAGCATTTAGTTACGAAGTACAGGAAACTCCAGCAGGGCGTGGGGAAGGGACACAGGAACGGGGAGATGCCAGCCCAGGGTTCATTACCAAGCTGCCTTCCACCGAGGGCACCTGGGGGGCAAAAGAGTGTAACCCACACCTCAGTTATCCACTCCAGGGGGAGGAGAACGGGGGTGTTTATTTTGCACTGTCAGTCACTGGCTGATGGCTGCTCCCAGGGGACGGGGACACCCCACACCCAGCCTGCCAGGCTGTGGCAGGGAGACTTCCTAGTCTGGAGGAAATCTGCCAGGAAACTGGGCATTGGAAGCCAGCTGGGCACACTCAGTTAAGGCTACATATTTGAACTAAGGTTTGTGAACCACTTTTTCATGGAGCAAAGGGTGGAAATGAGGATGGTGTTCAGGCAGGTGGGTCAATTTGTTGGAAGGCAAAATTGCTGTGGGTGCAGCTGCCGTGACTTTGACAATGGCAGGTGATCATGAACACGCCTCAGTGTGGACTTCCCTGTTCCTTCGCCATTGTGTTGAGCATCATGCTCTGCTATACTTTTCCTTTACTAAAACAAAGTCATTGTCTTTTTTCCATTACCATTTAGCTCCCTTATTCCTCCTCCTCCCCCGCAATCACCACACTGTTGTCCATGTCTGTGAGTCCTTTTTCCTTTTTGCTCAGTTCCTCCAACCTCTACCCTCCCTGCCCCCGCCTTAGCTGTCCGCCTGCTCTCTGTATATGAGTCTGTCTCTATTTTGCTTGCTAGTTCAGTTTGTTCATTAGATTCCACATATGAGTGAAATCTCATATCTGACTGGCTTATTTCACTTAGCACAGTGTTCTCCAGGTCCACCCATGCTGTTGCAAAGGGCAAAATTTTCTTCTTTTTTATGGCTGAATAGTATTCCATTGTGCAAATGTCCCATAGGTGTTTTAACCACTCATCCACTGATGGACACTTGGGCTGCTTCTATATCTTGGTGACTGTAAATAACGCTGCAGTGAACAACACGGGAGCTTATGTTCTTTGGAATAAGTGTTTTGGGTTCCTTCAGATATATTCCCAGAAGTCAGATTGCTTGGTCAAAAGGCAGATCCATTTTTAATTTTCAGAGGTATCCCCATCCTGCTTTCCACAGTGGCTACGTCAACTTGCTATTAAAATATTTTTTAAAAAGACAATCCTTTACCATCTTGAATTTGTAGGTTTTCTTCAAATTCCAGAGCTAAAATTTTAAAGCCTTTACATCTCCTGAGCAAATCGGGTTCCGATCCTTCACAGCCACTGCCGTTGCCTTCCATTTCTGCCCCGGAGTAAATCCCCATTATAGTTAGGACCACCGTTCTCTTTCTCTGTTCACAGATCTAATCCAGGGGTCGGTGGAATGTGATCCATGGGCCACACCCAGCCACACCTGCTCTATGAATTCCTGAGTGGCCACGCTCCATTGTTCATGAATTGTCTGAAGTGGCTTTTGCCCCACTACAGAGTTGAGTCATTGTGACAAAGACTGTATGGCCCACAAATTCTAAAACATTTTCTTTCTTGTCCTTTACAGAAGAAGTTTCCTGACCCCGACAATCCACACCGCACAGGCTCAGGGGCTCTGTCCGTCATACCTTGACCAGGGAGACCGGGTTGCAGGGGAAAGCTCGGAATGTGGGGTCTGTAGACAAGCCGCATAAGTCCCCAGGCTACGTCTCCCCTGATGCTTTGGGTGCAGTTCAAAACAAGGTCAATAGGGCTAAATCGTGAAGTAGGCGAATGCCACCCACTAACGCCGAACACTGACAGTACGTGTCAAGATAGCAAGGTGGAAGTTTTCACTGAAGGAGCAGGACTGATAGATCTTCAATATGCAGAATTTACAAAGGAATTATAAAAACAGGTATCATGACTCATGAGACCCCTTGCCTATATTGCGGACAAAGAGATTCAAGTGATGACAATTAGGGAAGGGATTTTTTTGGTTTGTTTGTTTGTTTGTTTGTTTGTTTTTGGTTGAGGGCTGCTGGTGCCATCTACCCAGGAGGGGAAGAGAGGAAGGCAGGGTGGATGCTCATCTCATGTCACCAATGACAGAGCTGTCATATGAGCCCAGTGTCGGTCACCACAGTTAATAAAGCACTGAGCACTGAGACTAACCTTGTTGGAAGTCAGAGACCAAGAGACAGGCCAGCCAGCTGCTTTGGGGGGGAAGTAGAGGAAAACTGCTACTGCTTTGGGATGGAGCTATACTTTCCGAGTTGATTTTGTGGGCTTTCTCCCGTGGGCCCGATGAGTGAGCACAGACCAGAGGATTTCTAATTGCGCCCAAGACAGCGGCCTGGCGGGGGCTTGTCTGCGGGGCCCCCTGCGCAGGTGGGCGCGCAGGGCACTGCCACACAGCGGAGGCCGGTGGGATATTGTCAGCCAGGGAAAATGCATTGTTTATGATCCCAGAGATTACGGTGAAGCGTCTCGGGCACGTGTCTCGTGACAATAAAGGCAGGTCATGAGAATCGACTCGTAAACACCTGCCAGTCCCGAGGGGTGACATCATCTTATGACAGAGCCAGAACCTTTCCTAACCTCGACTTCCCTTTCCTTCCCAGTGCCCACCCTGTCAAAGGATGAGAAAACAGGCCCAGTGAGCTGGGGGAGGGGAGAAATGGTGGGAGTGGGGAGTGGAGCGGTAAGCAGGATGGGGCCTGATCTCTCTCTCCTGCTAGTGGTTCCTCCCTAAGCCAACCTGGGTGGGCGGGGCGCGGCGGGAGGCGGTGAGGTTTACATGTAAAATCAAGTTGAGATTTGATATTTATGTGGGGATCAACTCTTCTATTTCTGAATTAAAACTCTGTCCTTTTGTGACCTCAAGTGGTTAGGGGGCTTTTTGTACCTCAAAAAGCCATGAGACTTCCCAAGTTTTCACCAGGACAAGCAGAATTTCGCCCTCTCATTCAGTTTAAAGGGACATGGGACACGACAGTAAAGATTCT